ATATATATATATATATATATATATATAAGTTGAATAAAAATAAAACCCCTCAATCTTTTTAGAGAAGTTTTCTGTACAATAAATTTGCTTGTTTAAATATCTTAATGTGTCGCTGTCGCTTCTCAGAGATAACAAATGTCATTTATATTTATAATGTCTACACTAGGAGCATGCAAATAAAAGAGAACAAACGAAAAGCGTTCTCCTGAATCCACGCGATGTCGCCAGAGAGATTCACAGACATGTTTCCTTCAGATGAGGTCACTTCTTACAGCCGTTGATTTCCGGCTGAAGAGGTTTGCGTACACGTCCACAGTATCCGTGAGTGTAGTCTGGAGTAGAGCAACAACAAATCCGTTAACCCTTGTCTACAGTATCAACCGTGGATTCACTTCATATAAAACATCGATGAAAGCATGCACGTCTAAAAAAGAGCTCAGTGACTAGTCGAAGAATCCTTGCAGTTTGAATTCCATCGGCACTGAGTTTGTGTTTACACTGAAGTCAGATGGGGGAGGTGAGGAAACTCCAAAAGAAGTTAAGGCAAATTGAAAACTTGGAGATCAAAATTTCCCTCACTCTCGAGGAAAAAATAAAGGTACAGAATTATCATGCTCTTATTCACTCGCTTGAGATCAGTGCAGAATTTTTGCACATTGAATCTTTAATAGAGACCATGTATGTTCAGTTCAGATCACACATAAAAAGATCACTCAGGAATGATTCACTGAATAGAATTTTAAGGATAACTAAGGTATCCAGTTAAACCATAACTGAAATTTGTCTTTTATGATTATCACACATCACTCTTTGTAGGTCTCCAAGAAGGGGGAGCTTCGCTCCAGATTGGCTGAGCTTCTGCTGCAGCATTCTGGCCCCCAGCAAATTCAAGGGATTGTGGGAAAGGAGGAGGATAAAATGAAAAGACAAGTGTAAGAATGAGCGACTAGATGTAGAAGGAGAGAGAGCGAGACGGCCGGGCGCGTAAGATTAAACTCTAGACCTCTGCCCATGGCTAGTCTTCCGCTCTCTGGCGTCTAGGCAGTATTGATTCATCATATTTCTTTAAAAACTCTATCCTTAAACTCTCACGCCCGTGCTTTCTGTCTCACACATTGTTATTTAATAATATACTTGTTACAACAAAGGTATAACAAGACAGGCAGTGTTTGTTTAACAGCTATGGACAGGCATGAGAATAATTCACAGTGATATTTTTGTGCTTGTTGATGTTTATTTTTCATGATAGCGAGGAGGTCACAGAGCAACTTGTTGCCTGTCGTCCTGCGCTGAAGATTGCTCGAGAGGAGAGACGAGAGAATGAAAGAATCGATGGAAGCCAGACAGATGGCAGAGGAGAAACACATCTCCCCGTCAGCCCCAGTGCAGAAGAACAAGAAGGTCAAATTAGTACACTAATCACACACACAATTACAGTTACTCGCACAGATGTTGATTACAAGACTGCTTGTCTTTCACAGGAAGTTCTGCCTTATGGCTGTCTCATGCGATGATATAACAGATGGTTAGTTTATCAGCATTCATGGGAGTGGAAAAAAACATGACCTCAGTTTATATGAAACCGTTTGTTTGTCTTCATACGCTGCAGATGCCGAGTTCAAATCTCGCAAACAAACTTGGGAAAAGGCCAAGTTTCGTCTCAGAACTCTGGAGGGTCATAGTGACATCATCACCTGTGCGGTCGCCGTCGACAATCTTGTGATTTCTGGCAGGTACCGGAAAAATTCAACAGTTTATGACTCTGACTGACTGTGAAATTGCTGACGTATCCGTTAACGCCTCTCTCTCTTCTCTACTCTTCACCTACTGTTTCTTCCCATTTAAGTCGAGATACAACAGTTAAAGTGTGGCACGTTCCCACGGCAACGGAGCAGCGCAATTTGGGAGGTCACAGCGGTGGAGTCACCTGTCTCAGTGCACCACCTCTAGAGTACTGCAGGAGATTGGGTACACACACACACACACAGACTCACACTCTCTCAAGCCTGGGAAAGTAAAGAATAATTGATCCTGTTGACGGGGCCAGCCGGCTGATACAGATGTACAGATTGTTCACTCATCCTTTATGCTCTCTCTTTTCTCTCACCTCTTTTGTTCCAGCTACTTATGCCCTCTTCCCCATCTGTCCCTTTTGCTCTCCATCACTCCTTGTCTTGCTGTTTTGACAGTGCATTTGTTCTTCACATCCTTTGTCTTTCATTCTCAATTTTCTCGTGTCCTGCAGTCACTTGTTCTTGTTCTCTGTCTTCAACTTTCATTCTCTTGATCTGTTTTTCCACAGCACGTGTATTTGACTTGGCTGAAAAGGAAAGATTTGTTCTAAGTGGTTCCACAGACTGTTGTGTGAGAATTTGGGCTTTGAGCTCGGGTGAGTCTTTCTCTCTTTCACACACACACACACACACACACATTTTATTCTTTTATTTGGATCCACAAGACAAGTAACAGAAACGGAATCCAAATACCTTGGGAAGTCAGTTTGCAAGATGACAGGTACACATGGCTAACATACATTCACAAGCCCTTATATTTATCTTTATAGTTGTTATAAGGCACATTGTAAAAAGTAGTAGCCTTAAGTCAGCCATATCAAAATGCACTCACTTCCCTGCATTAACGTTGGCAGTTACAACGGGTGCTGCTAGAAATTCATGCGGGTGTGCGGAAAGCCCAAACGCACTCCGCTGCGGCCATGACACACACACACACACGCACACACACACACGAATGTGTGGCCTCAGCAATCATTTTCAAATGAAGGTTGAGCAGCTTAAGAATTATGAATGTCCTTTAAATTATAAGGTAGAACTGTTGAATACTAATTTGATTATAAGGAGGAATGCAAATACAAAACTATTTAATATATCAGACTTGAAATGAATTCTCGTCTGAAGTTCTGTAATTAATAGATCATAGCAAAACGTTTTTAACATTGATAATAATCCGAAATGTTTCTTGAGCACCAAATCAGCATATTAGAATGATTTAATAAAAAAAAAATATATACATATCTATATATATAAAAAATGGATAATAGTTATTTTAAATTGTGATATTTCACAGTATTCATGTTTTACTGTATTTTTGATTAAATAAATGCAGTCTTGGTGAGCAAAAAAGACTTCTTTCAAAAACATAAAAAAATCTTACCCATCTCATACTTTTGTATGGTAGGTTATTATAAATATATGCTTATTTTTATTATCTAAAACTGACATTTCACAGACTAGTACAGACAAGAATATCAAATTGTAATATAATCATATTTGTTATTACAGTCTTTACTAAAACTGTGTGGCTATAGTGTATTACATATTTGCTATATACAAAGTATATCAAATTCCAATTCAACATCCTGTGATGTGTGAGCAATGTGATTGAAATTCACACTCATTAATCAAAAGGATGGCAATTTTCAAAATTCTGAATTTTGCCAAATCCTGCTTAAAATGTAATGTAGCATTAGAAACATATTGTCAAATTAAAAGTATCAATTTTAAACTATTTTTAAAATTGAAATGGTAAAGGATAGAGAGTGTACAGTAGATGTGCTGTTGTTCTGAGCGTCCATTATCTGAATCTCGGTCATTATATAACTGGTCGAGGGGGTACTACTCACTCTTTTTTGGACCCCACAGCTTTTTTCGTCCCCTGCCGATGAGGGTGAATTAAACTCAAGTGTGTTTGGGGTTTGCATCACATGTTGTTATTCCTGCAGGTCAGTGCGTCAAATCCATCTACACATTCAATGCAGTCTCAAGCCTGTGCTTCACTCCTGAAGGAGAGGGCTTCATTGTTACAGGTTCAGGTAGGTATCCGTGTTTGTGAGAGTGAGGTTGAGATGACCATGCCTTGCATCAGTCTCGACATATCAGGTGCGTCTGAGGCTCAGTGTTATTGATCTTACACTAGACGCTGGGAAGCTGCAGGTGTGGAGCTGGAGCTCGCTGGAGAACTGTCAGTCAGAGAACGCACACCTGGACGCAGTCACCACACTACAGGTGGGCGAGTGCCATGGCAACAGAACTGTGCTGGCATCTAGAACTTTCCGATTCTGCCCTTTAGAGCAGCACGTTTAAAAAAAAAAGATTGTGCCTCCACTCAAAGCTGAAGTGTTGCCTGTAGAGGAATCCCTTGAGAGTAGTTTTCTCCTTGCGATCTTTAAACAGTCTAAAGTTCACAGAGATGTACAAGCTATTAAATGCCAACATTTAATGCAGTCTCTGTTTAGTTAGTGATTTATGAATTTTGTGAAATGAAACTGGGCAGAGCAATATAATACAAAGAAATCAATAGATACAGAATAGAAGTAAATAAATCATGTAGCAATTGAGATAAGAAATAGGTTGTGATAAGAAAAAGAATACTCTAGCATCAAACAGAGGTGACTCTCTTTCCATATTTAATACTGTTAGTTGGCACGAGTTGTCATGGAAACACAGTGGCATTTACCCTTCGTTCTCTCCACAGTCCCAGGGTCCTCTGCTGTTCAGCGGCTCCGCAGAGGGATGTGTGTGTGTGTGGGAGGTGTCCGATGAACGGACGGAGCCCCTCCGCAGGTTACACGTCTGGGGGCCAGAAGTCACAGGGTGTGGTGGGGATGACGGGAGGCTGATTCTGAGCCCCCGCGGTGACCGTGTGTTCCTCTCTTGTGGAAAGGCCAGCATACGAATACTAAATTGGAGAACAGGTAATATATTGACTGTATTTTTTATCTAAGTTTATTATATGAATTAGGATTACATTTATTAATGAAATAATTTGTTTATATATATATACAGTGGGTACGGAAAGTATTCAGACCCCCTTAAATTTTTCACTCTTTGTTATATTGCAGCCATTTGCTAAAATCATTTAAGTTAATTTTGTTTCCTCATTAATGTACACACAGCACCCCATATTGACATATATATATATATACACACACACACACACAGGTGCATCTAAAAAATTGTGAAAATTTTCTCTTTTTTTGATAACATTTCAAAAAGTGAAACTTTCATATATTCTAGATTCATTAGATGTAAAGTAAAACATTTCAATCGTTTTTTTGTTTGTTTTATTTTTGATGATTAGAGCTTACAGCTCATGAAAGTTAAAAATCCAGTATCCCAAAATATTAGAATATTTACATTTGAGTGTCATTAAATGACCATCCCTACAGTATAAATTCCAGGTAGCTCTTGTTCTTTGAAACCACAATAATGGGGAAGACTGCTGACTTGGCAATGGTCCAGAAGACAATCACTGACATCCTCCACAAAGAGGGTAAGTCACAGAAGATCATTACTGAAAGGGGTGACTGTTCACAGAGTGCTGTATCAAAGCATATTAAATGCAAAGTTGACTGGAAGGAAGAAATTGGGTAGGAAAAGGTGCACAAGCAACAGGGATGACCGCAAGCTTGAGAATACTGTCAAGCAAAGCCGATTCAAACTCTTGGGAGTGGACTGAAGCCGGAGTCGGTGCATCAAGAGTCACCACAAGTCCAAAGTCAATGCAGCCATCTACCAGGAGATTTTGGAGCACTTTATGCTTCCATCTACTGACAAGCTTTATGGAGATGCTGATTTCCTTTTCCAGCAGGACTTAAGCACCTGTCCACAGTGCCAAAACCACTTCCAAGTGGTTTGCTGACCATGATATTACTGTGCTTGATTGACCAGCCAACATGCCTGACCTGAACCCCATATGGAATCTATGGGATATTTTCAAGAGAAAGATGAGAATCAGTCGATTCAACAATACAGACGAGCTGAAGGCCGCTATTAAAGGGTTAGTTCACCCAAAAATGAAAATTTGCCCATAAATTTCTCACCCTCAAGTCATCCTAGGCGTATATGACTTTCTTCTTTCAGACGAATCCAGTCAGAGTTATATTAAAAATTGTCTTGGCACTCAGCAGGTGTTGCAGTGCATCAGTCCAAAAAATTTTTTAATAAAAAGTGCCCATCCATAAATAAAAAGTGTCTCGCATGGCTCCGGGGGGTAAACAAAGTCCTCCTGTAGCGAATCGTTGCGTTTTTGTAAGAAAAATAACCATATTTAAAACGTAATAATCAATTTAATCTAGCTTGCGCTCACTGTTGTAAATGACGTATGAGATCAGCTTTGCGCATGCGCCGCTCAGTAGTGACGAACGCGGAAGCGCAGGGGAGAGATCAAAACAACGGTCACTAATTAGAACTACAAAATAAGGATTTGTAAAGAAGAATGTCGGAGAATTTCGATATAAGCCAAGATGAGGCTGGTTTTCCTTTGCTAAAGTAAGGAAACTTTGCTTCCTTTGCTCCTGTTAACAAACGTTGGTTTTCACCAGACTCACCAGCGCATGCGCAACGCTGAACTCATACGTCATCCGCCCGGAGCTGCTTCTGTGTACAACTGTTGGCGCAAGCTATATTAAAGTGAATATTACGTTTTGAATATGGATATTTTTCTTACAAAAACACATCGATTCGCTACAGGAGGCCTTTGTTCACCCCCCGGAGCAGTGTGAGACACTTTTTTTATGGATGGGCGCTTCTTATTTCACTTCTTTTGGACTGATGCACTGCAACACCTGTTAAGTGCCATTAAACAGCTTGAAAGGTCAAAGAAAAATATTAAATATAACTCAGACTGGATTCGTCTAAAAGAAGAAAGTCATATACACCTAGGATGACTTGAGGGCGAGTAATTTATGGACTAATTTTCATTTTTGGGTGAACTAACCATATATATATATATATATATATATATATATATATATATCAGTGGTAGAGGTCTGCAAGCTTGATGGGGCCCGACACGCTGAGTCCATTCGGGCCTGGCTGGGTCCATTTTATTTTTACAGATCGGGCCCGGGTCTGACTCTGGCTCATTTAGCTTCTCTCCTTTTATTGTGCCCATATACACCTAGGATGACTTGAGGGCGAGTAATTTATGGACTAATTTTCATTTTTGGGTGAACTAACCCTTTAAAGAAACCTGGGCTTCAATAGTGCCTCAGCAGTGCCACAGGCTGATCACTTCCATGCCACACCTCACTGATGCTGTCATTTGTGCTAAAGGAGCCCTGACCAAGTATTGAGTACATCAATTAACATGCACATAAGAACTTGAACTTTTCTGTTTTGCAAATCCTTTTTTTGATTGATCTTAGGAAATATTCTAATATTTTGAGATACTGGATTTTTGACTTTCATGAGCTGTAAGCTCTTGAAAAAACTTTTGAAATGTTTTACTTTACTATGTAATAAATCTAGAATATATAAAAAGTTTCACTTTTTGAAATAACTTTGAAAAGTTACAAAAAAAAGAGAAATTTTTCACAATATTCAAATTTTTTAAGATGCACCTGTATGTATATATATATATATATATATATATATATATATATATATATATATATATATATATATATATATCAGTGGTAGAGGTCTGCAAGCTTGATGGGGCCCGACACGCTGAGTCCATTCGGGCCTGGCTGGGTCCATTTTATTTTTACAGATCGGGCCCGGGTCTGACTCTGGCTCATTTAGCTTCTCTCCTTTTATTGTGCCCACAGGCTACTGTATGAAATATTGTTATATTGATTATATTATAAATATTATACATCCCCTACGCAATACACAACGCATATACGCACTCATTAGCATACAGGTGACAGTTGACCATGCAGAGCATCAGGGAGAATTTGGAGCGTGGGGAGTTACGAAAAGTTCCCAATGCTTATATATATATATATATCAGTGGTAGAGGTCTGCAAGCTTGATGGGGCCCGACACGCTGAGTCCATTCGGGCCTGGCTGGGTCCATTTTATTTTTACAGATCGGGCCCGGGTCTGACTCTGGCTCATTTAGCTTCTCTCCTTTTATTGTGCCCACAGGCTACTGTATGAAATATTGTTATATTGATTATATTATAAATATTATACATCCCCTACGCAATACACAACGCATATACGCACTCATTAGCATACAGGTGACAGTTGACCATGCAGAGCATCAGGGAGAATTTGGAGCGTGGGGAGTTACGGAAAGTTCCCAATGCTTTGGGAAAAGCTGCATTTTGGAAGAGTTTTGATTTGATTACCACGACAAACAATGAGCCAATTGGTCATCTGCAGTGCAGAATCTGCAAACATATCCTTGCACATGACAGCAAAAAAACAGGAACATCTCATCTACAATGGCATGTCGAGCGCGGCTGGGTTCCAGCTAACTCTGCTAGCACAAGCAGACAGTTATCAATGTCCGAGTTCTTGTCGAAGCCAGTGCCACCTAATGCCAGATGCCAAGTCATCGAGAAGTGTGTGGATTTTTTCCACTAAACCCACCGCACACTTTAGGGGGTCTGTTAAAACTCAATGGGCTCAGGGGAGGCAAGAAGGACGCCGACTCCCACTGTAACTTTACCTGCTAGTGTCGCTGTTGGACAATGTTTCTTTTAAAAAATGAGGGATTTATACACTTTTTAATTATATATTTTGTAATATTGGCATTGTTTTATTTTTCTACTACGATTTTTTTTACTACGAGACACTTCCTGCCTTGCCTCCTTTCTGTTATAGAACAAAAATCGGAAAACAAAACGCTTTCAAAACAGGAAACAAAAACGAGGAGAAGGGGCACCGCTTACTGTTCGGTCCTGTCTTCTGTCACGGTGCTGCTGCCACTGTGTTGGATACGAGGACCGAAAGAGCGAGGAGACATTGAAGAATATAGAAATCATAGAATTTATTAACACACACGTAGTACAGGAACCTAAGGACGTTTAAGACAGGACGAAGGACTCAGGAAAACACAGGGCTTAAATAGCAAGGAACTAATTGGGACACACCTGAAATCAATGAACAATCAAAACACGGGAGAAACTAGGTCATGGAAGGCACATGGGGAGAAAAACACAAGACACAGGACTGACACTTAAACAGTAATAATTATATGTATAAATAATATTAACTTTGTGTATATTTAAATATATTTACTTGAATTTACAATCAAATAAATCAGTTAATCTCATATATCAAATATTTGATAAAAGCAGCCCTCAAATTTGAAAAAACTACAGAAAGATATTTCAAAGACATTACATAAAAGTGTGCAGATGAATAGGCCCACTTTCTTTTTTTTACTTATTCACACCAAATAAACGTTAAATCAACATAATCCTATGATCTGCCATCAGCACCAATTTTTAGTCAACATCTTATTTTATAAAGCACCTCTCATAGATATGCAGGATTCTGTCGCAATAAATATTTTACAACCCCCATTGGACCTTCATTTGTTCTTTGACTCGGGGCTATTTAACAGATTTATTAATGGAATACATCTTGACTGAGTCTGTTCGCTCAGAGCTGCTAATATAATCTGTGTTAAAGTCCCAGTGGCTCAGAGAACACAGACAGGAGAGGGGGCTGTTTGCCCCAGGGCAGAGGAAAATGTAAAAAAACATCCGCCACTTTCTCATTTTAATCCTGTTTTCTCACAGGATATTTGTGCTAAAGGCCAGTATCTCAAAAGAAAAAAAACCTGTAAACAATTACATCAAATAAATCAGAGTTTCTGGTAGGAGCACACCATGATGTGACACTCTAATCGAGAGCGCTGAGATTCATAATGACCCCAGTTCATCAAACAACTCGTAGCTTGAGCTCTAAAAGAATTAATGAGCTTTACAGACAAAAAAACATTGGTATTAATGGCATAAAACACAGCAAATTCGGCAGCTATTGACAGAGTAGGAACGAAGTCTATATATAGACAGATTATGTAAGTTTAATTACTTTTTGTTTATGGTTTATTTGCGTTTCAGTGGATAAATGTTAGAAAGTGCCCCTAATGATGCATATTTGCTCTCTCCAATCATGTGCAGGCGTGATGACCAGACTAACCAATCACAGCAGCACTGCTGGTGTCACAGATTGCGTCAATCAAATACCCGGCCTTTTGATCGGCTCTTGTTTTGACATTATTAACGGAGAGAGCACAATTAACTGTGAGTGAATTTAACATAAATTTTATTTTAACACCTTTGAAAACTGTGAGTTGTATAATCACTTCTTTTTTTTTTTTAATCTTTCAGTGTTCTCGCTTCCCCAGAGCAAATACCTGGTTTCACTCACTTCTTCAGATCTTCCCAGGATTCTTTGTTTTGCTGCGTGGCTAACAGCAAGTGGGGATCATCGTTGGGTCACAGGGGGTCGTAACCTCATTGTTTGGGAGCAGCTTCCTGGAAGTTTTAAAAAGAGGTGTGTTTTTTTTTCCCCCCCAGATATAGAGGTCTATTTCATGTATCTCAAATTCACTTTCTCTAAGAGATGTACTTCACAACCCCTTCTGCCCATTACTTATCCCTTCACAACCTACTTTATATAATGTATTACTGTACGGTATATATCAAATTCGTAGACATTCGCTGACACATAGTTACTAATATAAGACACTCTGCTCAATGTTTCATTTAGTCAGTATATCAATATGTACATCAGTAATGAGATACTGGCTGGAATATAGTATCTTTGGGATGCTTATTAATGAGAAGTCTGCAGGAATGCTCCGGGCACAGTTTAATTGACAATGAGAACCGTAGCTCACATGGAGTGCTGGATGCCGAGCCAATGATCACTTTGTGGAAAAAATATTGATTTCTTTGTAACTACAATTCTGTCTAGAGCTGCAGGTCTCAGCTGGTGGGTTACAGGAAAAACAATGCTGAATGCAAATAATGAAATACAACTAGCCATATAATTCTGCATATTTAGATTTGTGAAAAAGACTCCGGTTTTCCAGACTTTTAAAGGGGAGAGAAAACGATTCCCATTTCATTTGTTATTGATGTCAAAGACTCTGCATCCTGTATTTTGGAGCTTAATCTGTCACTTGGAAGCTATCCAAATTAGGCAGACGCCAACATTTCATGGTGATATTAATATCAATGTTTAATTTCAAGGACATTTTTTGCTTACATTGCTGTTGGTTTCTGGTCTTAACTGGTCTCCCAGCCTTGTCAGGCTGGTCTGTTCACTGGTTTTACAGTAGTTTTGGGCACTTTTCAGCTGGGCAGGCTGGAAGACCAGATTAAATAATCTAAAACCATTTTAGACCGGTTTAATTGACAGAGCAATAAACAGTTTTGGTGCTGTGTTGGGCCACCACTCGGATGTCCAATGTAAAAAACAAAACCAAAGACATTGCATTCAATATTCTGACACATGGAACCTATCCAAATTAGGCAGAGGCCAACATTTTATGTCAGTATTAATAATAATGTTTAATTTCAATGACATTTGTGTTTACATTTGTACACACTACTGGAAAAAAAACTTCTTAAACCAGCCTAACCTGGTTTGCCAGTCTTAGCTGGTCTCCCAGCCTGGTCAGGCTTGACTGATCAGGCTGGCTTTTGGAGTGGTTTTAAACACTTTTAAGATGGTCGCCCAGCAAAACCAGCTAAACACCATCTTGGAGAGATGGGAGATCAGATTTAACCAACTAAAACCAGATTATGCTGGTTTAAGCAGTTTTTTTTTCAACAGAACAATTAAACAATTTTGGTGCTGTGTTGGACGAGTAGCTGCTAAACAACTAAAGGTGCAGTCAGGGCCATCATTAAGTAGCAGACCCTGTGGCGAATGGACCGAGAGGGACACCCCCCCAAAACACAATCGCGAACGGACCGATGAGGACCCGGAACACGATTGCGAATGAATCAAGTGGAACCTGGAATGCGATCACGAATGAACTGAAAGGGACAAACGCGAATGCAAACGAACCGAGTGGGACCTGGAACGCAATCACAAACAAGCAGTTGGGAAAACACGATCGCAAACGAACCGAGTTGGACAAACGAAATTGCAAACAAATTGAGTGGGACCTGGAACGCGATCCATACTAACCCAATGGGACAAACATGATTGCAAACGAATCGAGGGGGGACCTGGAACACAATCACGAATTAACTGATTGGGACAAAACGTGATTGCTAACGAACCAAGGGGTACCTGGAATGGGACAACAGAGTGGGACAAACGCAATCGTGAACAGACTGAGGGGGTAACTCCCCCACCCCCCGACCTGGAACAGGACCATGAAAGGACTGATGGGGGGCCCCACTCCTTCTCTTGAACTGGGCCCCGTGCCAGCTTGGGTGCAGTCACACTCAAATATAGGCCCTAGCCCGGCTCGGGTCCGACAGCTCATCAGAATTCTTGGCCCGAGTCCGACCCGAGCCTGCCTTTTTTTTCCCCCTTCTCCCAAAACAGCTTATACTACTGTTTCATCTATTAAAATAGTTCAGTTTTGTATGTAATGTCAAAGTGATTATATTTCGTTTTGTTTTTTTATTAAGTTAATTTTGAAAAATGTTTGGAGCATTTTTTTGTTCGTTAAATGTACGTTTTTTTTTTTTAAAAGTACTATCGACCGAGCGGCCAGTGGCAGACAGTGAGCTGATCATAGCCTATGTTTGATCAATTTAGCCTTCTCAAATCATCACGACTTGCCTAAAATAATATCTATAGATATAAAACAGTTCAAGCATATCACAATGTTAGTTTAAATGTTTAACCTATATAAATGTGCGCTATTAGGCGCATATCTAGTCGTTTGTGCGGAGAGCTGAAGCGCACTTTACAGGACATGGAGGCACCGGCGCAATCACTTGCATTGGAAACAACTTAAAATATGCCGTAATTATTGCTCATAAATGTAAGAGTAATACATCACTCGGAACTGTAAAGGGTCTACTTTTATTTGTGTGCACTCACGATATCAACAAAACGTTGTGCTTTTTTAAAATAAAGGGTAGGCCTACAGGATGTGCTTTCTGCAATTTCGGCCAGGAGCACTTCACAATGATGAACCGAAACTCAGCGAATACTTGCCTCACAGACTTGCTAAATATATCTATAGAAAGCTTTAAATTACTATTTTAAAACTAAATAATTCAAATCAAAAACAAAAACTCTTTTTACGGATATTATAAAATCCGTAAAGATGCATTTCTCTCTAAAGGCACGTCCAATGAGGAGATGGCGAGTCAGGATCGTCGTCTTCATCTTTGCAACACGGACTCAGAAAACATCCCCAGAGCAAATACCTGGTTTCACTCACTTCTTCAGATCTTCCCAGGATTCTTTGTTTTGCTGCGTGGCTAACAGCAAGTGGGGATCATCGTTGGGTCACAGGGGGTCGTAACCTCATTGTTTGGGAGCAGCTTCCTGGAAGTTTTAAAAAGAGGTGTGTTTTTTTTTCCCCCCCAGATATAGAGGTCTATTTCATGTATCTCAAATTCACTTTCTCTAAGAGATGTACTTCACAACCCCTTCTGCCCATTACTTATCCCTTCACAACCTACTTTATATAATGTATTACTGTACGGTATATATCAAATTCGTAGACATTCGCTGACACATAGTTACTAATATAAGACACTCTGCTCAATGTTTCATTTAGTCAGTATATCAATATGTACATCAGTAATGAGATACTGGCTGGAATATAGTATCTTTGGGATGCTTATTAATGAGAAGTCTGCAGGAATGCTCCGGGCACAGTTTAATTGACAATGAGAACCATAGCTCACATGGAGTGCTGGATGCCGAGCCAATGATCACTTTGTGGAAAAAATATTGATTTCTTTGTAACTACAATTCTGTCTAGAGCTGCAGGTCTCAGCTGGTGGGTTACAGGAAAAACAATGCTGAATGCAAATAATGAAATACAACTAGCCATATAATTCTGCATATTTAGATTTGTGAAAAAGACTCCGGTTTTCCAGACTTTTAAAGGGGAGAGAAAACGATTCCCATTTCATTTGTTATTGATGTCAAAGACTCTGCATCCTGTATTTTGGAGCTTAATCTGTCACTTGGAAGCTATCCAAATTAGGCAGACGCCAACATTTCATGGTGATATTAATATCAATGTTTAATTTCAAGGACATTTTTTGCTTACATTGCTGTTGGTTTCTGGTCTTAACTGGTCTCCCAGCCTTGTCAGGCTGGTCTGTTCACTGGTTTTACAGTAGTTTTGGGCACTTTTCAGCTGGGCAGGCTGGAAGACCAGATTAAATAATCTAAAACCATTTTAGACCGGTTTAATTGACAGAGCAATAAACAGTTTTGGTGCTGTGTTGGGCCACCACTCGGATGTCCAATGTAAAAAACAAAACCAAAGACATTGCATTCAATATTCTGACACATGGAACCTATCCAAATTAGGCAGAGGCCAACATTTTATGTCAGTATTAATAATAATGTTTAATTTCAATGACATTTGTGTTTACATTTGTACACACTACTGGAAAAAAAACTTCTTAAACCAGCCTAACCTGGTTTGCCAGTCTTAGCTGGTCTCCCAGCCTGGTCAGGCTTGACTGATCAGGCTGGCTTTTGGAGTGGTTTTAAACACTTTTAAGATGGTCGCCCAGCAAAACCAGCTAAACACCATCTTGGAGAGATGGGAGATCAGATTTAACCAACTAAAACCAGATTATGCTGGTTTAAGCAGTTTTTTTTCAACAGAACAATTAAACAATTTTGGTGCTGTGTTGGACGAGTAGCTGCTAAACAACTAAAGGTGCAGTCAGGGCCATCATTAAGTAGCAGACCCTGTGGCGAATGGACCGAGAGGGACACCCCCCCAAAACACAATCGCGAACGGACCGATGAGGACCCGGAACACGATTGCGAATGAATCAAGTGGAACCTGGAATGCGATCACGAATGAACTGAAAGGGACAAACGCGAATGCAAACGAACCGAGTGGGACCTGGAACGCAATCACAAACAAGCAGTTGGGAAAACACGATCGCAAACGAACCGAGTTGGACAAACGAAATTGCAAACAAATTGAGTGGGACCTGGAACGCGATCCATACTAACCCAATGGGACAAACATGATTGCAAACGAATCGAGGGGGGACCTGGAACACAATCACGAATTAACTGATTGGGACAAAACGTGATTGCTAACGAACCAAGGGGTACCTGGAATGGGACAACAGAGTGGGACAAACGCAATCGTGAACAGACTGAGGGGGTAACTCCCCCAGCCCCCGACCTGGAACAGGACCATGAAAGGACTGATGGGGGGCCCCACTCCTTCTCTTGAACTGGGCCCCGTGCCAGCTTGGGTGCAGTCACACTCAAATATAGGCCCTAGCCCGGCTCGGGTCCGACAGCTCATCAGAATTCTTGGCCCGAGTCCGACCCGAGCCTGCCTTTTTTTTCCCCCTTCTCCCAAAACAGCTTATACTACTGTTTCATCTATTAAAATAGTTCAGTTTTGTATGTAATGTCAAAGTGATTATATTTCGTTTTGTTTTTTTATTAAGTTAATTTTGAAAAATGTTTGGAGCATTTTTTTGTTCGTTAAATGTACGTTTTTTTTTTTTAAAAGTACTATCGACCGAGCGGCCAGTGGCAGACAGTGAGCTGATCATAGCCTATGTTTGATCAATTTAGCCTTCTCAAATCATCACGACTTGCCTAAATATAGATATATAGATATAAAACAGTTCAAGCATATCACAATGTTAGTTTAAATGTTTAACCTATATAAATGTGCGCTATTATCTAGTCGTCTAGTCGTTTGTGCGGAGAGCTGAAGCGCACTTTACAGGACATGGAGGCACCGGCGCAATCACTTGCATTGGAAACAACTTAAAATATGCCGTAATTATTGCTCATAAATGTAAGAGTAATACATCACTCGGAACTGTAAAGGGTCTACTTTTATTTGTGTGCACTCACGATATCAACAAAACGTTGTGCTTTTTTAAAATAAAGGGTAGGCCTACAGGATGTGCTTTCTGCAATTTCGGCCAGGAGCACTTCACAATGATGAACCGAAACTCAGCGAATACTTGCCTCACAGACTTGCTAAATATATCTATAGAAAGCTTTAAATTACTATTTTAAAACTAAATAATTCAAATCAAAAACAAAAACTCTTTTTACGGATATTATAAAATCCGTAAAGATGCATTTCTCTCTAAAGGCACGTCCAATGAGGAGATGGCGAGTCAGGATCGTCGTCTTCATCTTTGCAACACGGACTCAGAAAACACTAATTTATTAATAAATAATTCAAATATCTCATTATTTCCCCCCCCCGACACATTAATGGTAATTACTTTGCTGCGGCACGCTTTAGCCTATTGCGTATGTTTTTTGCTGTCATGTGCAAGGATATGTTTGCAGATTCTATATTGCACATGACCAATTGACTCACTGTTAATATCAAATCAAGACTCTTCCAAAATGCAGCTTTTCCCGAAGCATTGGGAACTTTTAGTAACTCCCCACGCTCCAACTTCTCCCTGATGCTCTGCATGGTCAACTGTCACCTGTATGCTAATGAGTGCGTATATGCATTGCGTATTGTGTAGGCGATGTATAATATTTATAATATAATCAGTATGACAATATTTCATACAGAAGGCTATGTGTGCTCTGCGCGTATATGGCACAATAAAAGGAGAGAAGCTAAATGAGCCCGAGTCCGACCCGAGCCAGATCTGTAAAAGAAAAAAATGGCCCCGACGGGACCCAACGGGCTTGCAGACCTCTAAGTCACACTTAACATTGTTGGGCAAACTTTCATACAATAAATCCAGTCATATATTCATGTTTCGCTACACTATTGAAAATAAATACATTGAAATGCTTCTAATGTGACACCTTAAGCCAGATATGAAGAAGATTTTTAAGTTGATCTGCCTCTGCCTAACTCTTAATGATATACTTGCTACTTCAAAAGCAGTTTGTATAATGAAGTCATTCCAATCCCATTGACAGCGCGCTGTTGTCAGCAGCACAGCAGCTTTGCTTTTTGCTTCAGGCCGAGTTAAACATCCTTCTGTCCTTGTTAACAGTGTGACCCAAGTGGCCTGCACTGACGGTCTTCTGTTGTTTTTCCTCTAGAGGCGATGTCACAGTGAGACGAGACAGCCGATTGGAATACTGTCTTCTGGAATCCGACAGAGACTCAGAAGACGAACAAAGTGAGGGTAAGCGAGAGAGCCAAAGATGGATGTTTTAACCTATGTTGAAAAATTCCAGTCCAAAGAAAATCTACAGTAATTTAATAATAAAAACAACTTTTTACACACTTTATGGACATTATTTTGCAATGTTCCTGAATAAATGAGTTTAAGCATTTAAAAAGGGATGCTATAAAACATTTAATTCACTTTGACAACCTTTACGAAAATATTGTTTTTTTCTCCTGTGGACGATGATGAAGACTCCATACCCCAGGATGCATCAGAAACAGAGGAACCCGCAAGTTCTTCATGGCTGAGTTGTGTTCTTCAGTGAGCGAGAGGAGGGGTAAATGAAAATAAGAGAGCGAGGGGATGGAGATTGAAGGAAGGTTAAAAAGAACAAACTGGAAAGGAAGAGAAAGCAAAGGCAAGGTCAAGGGGCGACGATTGATTGCAAGAAATCACTTGAAGGGACTGATGTGGAACAGATTGACTGACTGGCAGAAGGGAAAAAACAGGAGGAGGAGAGAAACAACAGACTGTTTTCTATGTAAACGTCGATCCAATAAACCCTACCATGTTATGTCTGTGTACGTGTGAGAGTATTTATCATCGCTGGCACTTCTGTCTATAAATATCTACAGTGTTGTTCATCATGTAGGGCTCCCGTCCAACGCTACATTAATGTATATAGATTTTCTTGCCGCTGCCTCTTTTCATTTGTCCTTTCTGAATACTTTTTATTTACTTCAGCTGGTCTTCGGAATATTAATAAGCCGCTTCTTTTATTCTGTCCGGCTATTTTCGCCTTCAAAATTCATTTATTTTCTTCTCGCTGCCTATTTAATTGAACCAGTTAAGATGCATAATTAGTATTTCAATCTTTCCTCCTTTCCTCCCTCCCTCCCTCCTTCCTCTGGCTCTCTCTCTCTCTCAAATCATCACGACTTGCCTAAAATAATATCTATAGATATAAAACAGTTCAAGCATATCACAATGTTAGTTTAAATGTTTAACCTATATAAATGTGCGCTATTAGGCGCATATCTAGTCGTTTGTGCGGAGAGCTGAAGCGCACTTTACAGGACATGGAGGCACCGGCGCAATCACTTGCATTGGAAACAACTTAAAATATGCCGTAATTATTGCTCATAAATGTAAGAGTAATACATCACTCGGAACTGTAAAGGGTCTACTTTTATTTGTGTGCACTCACGATATCAACAAAACGTTGTGCTTTTTTAAAATAAAGGGTAGGCCTACAGGATGTGCTTTCTGCAATTTCGGCCAGGAGCACTTCACAATGATGAACCGAAACTCAGCGAATACTTGCCTCACAGACTTGCTAAATATATCTATAGAAAGCTTTAAATTACTATTTTAAAACTAAATAATTCAAATCAAAAACAAAAACTCTTTTTACGGATATTATAAAATCCGTAAAGATGCATTTCTCTCTAAAGGCACGTCCAATGAGGAGATGGCGAGTCAGGATCGTCGTCTTCATCTTTGCAACACGGACTCAGAAAACACTAATTTATTAATAAATAATTCAAATATCTCATTATTTCCCCCCCCCCGACACATTAATGGTAATTACTTTGCTGCGGCACGCTTTAGCCTATTGCGTATGTTTTTTGCTGTCATGTGCAAGGATATGTTTGCAGATTCTATATTGCACATGACCAATTGACTCACTGTTAATATCAAATCAAGACTCTTCCAAAATGCAGCTTTTCCCGAAGCATTGGGAACTTTTAGTAACTCCCCACGCTCCAACTTCTCCCTGATGCTCTGCATGGTCAACTGTCACCTGTATGCTAATGAGTGCGTATATGCATTGCGTATTGTGTAGGCGATGTATAATATTTATAATATAATCAGTATGACAATATTTCATACAGAAGGCTATGTGTGCTCTGCGCGTATATGGCACAATAAAAGGAGAGAAGCTAAATGAGCCCGAGTCCGACCCGAGCCAGATCTGTAAAAGAAAAAAATGGCCCCGACGGGACCCAACGGGCTTGCAGACCTCTAAGTCACACTTAACATTGTTGGGCAAACTTTCATACAATAAATCCAGTCATATATTCATGTTTCGCTACACTATTGAAAATAAATACATTGAAATGCTTCTAATGTGACACCTTAAGCCAGATATGAAGAAGATTTTTAAGTTGATCTGCCTCTGCCTAACTCTTAATGATATACTTGCTACTTCAAAAGCAGTTTGTATAATGAAGTCATTCCAATCCCATTGACAGCGCGCTGTTGTCAGCAGCACAGCAGCTTTGCTTTTTGCTTCAGGCCGAGTTAAACATCCTTCTGTCCTTGTTAACAGTGTGACCCAAGTGGCCTGCACTGACGGTCTTCTGTTGTTTTTCCTCTAGAGGCGATGTCACAGTGAGACAAGACAGCCGATTGGAATACTGTCTTCTGGAATCCGACAGAGACTCAGAAGACGAACAAAGTGAGGGTAAGCGAGAGAGCCAAAGATGGATGTTTTAACCTATGTTGAAAAATTCCAGTCCAAAGAAAATCTACAGTAATTTAATAATAAAAACAACTTTTTACACACTTTATGGACATTATTTTGCAATGTTCCTGAATAAATGAGTTTAAGCATTTAAAAAGGGATGCTATAAAACATTTAATTCACTTTGACAACCTTTACGAAAATATTGTTTTTTTCTCCTGTGGACGATGTCCATACCCCCATACCCCAGGATGCATCAGAAACAGAGGAACCCGCAAGTTCTTCATGGCTGAGTTGTGTTCTTCAGTGAAGGGGTAAATGGGTAAATGAAAATAAGAGAGCGAGGGGATGGAGATTGAAGGAAGGTTAAAAAGAACAAACTGGAAAGGAAGAGAAAGCAAAGGCAAGGTCAAGGGGCGACGATTGATTGCAAGAAATCACTTGAAGGGACTGATGTGGAACAGATTGACTGACTGGCAGAAGGGAAAAAACAGGAGGAGGAGAGAAACAACAGACTGTTTTCTATGTAAACGTCGATCCAATAAACCCTACCATGTTATGTCTGTGTACGTGTGAGAGTATTTATCATCGCTGGCACTTCTGTCTATAAATATCTACAGTGTTGTTCATCATGTAGGGCTCCCGTCCAACGCTACATTAATGTATATAGATTTTCTTGCCGCTGCCTCTTTTCATTTGTCCTTTCTGAATACTTTTTATTTACTTCAGCTGGTCTTCGGAATATTAATAAGCCGCTTCTTTTATTCTGTCCGGCTATTTTCGCCTTCAAAATTCATTTATTTTCTTCTCGCTGCCTATTTAATTGAACCAGTTAAGATGCATAATTAGTATTTCAATCTTTCCTCCTTTCCTCCCTCCCTCCCTCCTTCCTCTGGCTCTCTCTCTCTCTCTCTCTCTCTCTCCCTTCCTCTTCCGCACTCTATTTCTCACTCGCGCAATTTCTACATGTCTCTGTCGCTACGGCAACCAATGCTTTTCCCCACTTCCAGGCACTCTGTCTCTCTCCCACTCCCTTCTTCAGTGGCATGAGGTAGGCATGTGAGCCGATATCTGTCTTGAGAGTTTGAATCTGCATGTTTCCAAGTGTGTGTAGGTGTATTTGTGAGTGTTGCCTGGAAGTCAGAGTGTGCCGTAAATCTGGATACAGATGTTGAGTTTTGTTTGACGGCTCGGGAAGAGGCTTGACACTGGGAACGCATCCACAGGTGTGTTCACATGTGTGTTTTTCTGTGGATCTTGTGGTTTGGTTCTTGATGAATGTGATCCGTTTTGATCTGGATGAGTGTGTATGCTTTACAGTATGTGTGTGTTTTTATTTGTGTTGTCTCTGAGCCAGCAGGGTATTTCTCCACTACAGCCATCTGTTTATGGTCTTTTAGTCAGTGTCAAGACTGAACCCTCCCCCTTCCAGCTCTGTTTCTCTTCTCATCCTTCTCTTTATGTCATTCTCATTTAAGACATGATCGGAGCGGTGAGGAGTCAGTGAACAGGCTGAAGCGATGGAGCGATGGTAAGGCAAAGCGAGGGTGCCAAACAGACTGTTTTGGTTGCACTGTGCTCAGATCTGACCAGTTAGTTTCCTGCAGCCTGTTGGGTTGCATCAGCTTCTGCTTTAAGTCTCTTTCCATCTATGCTCGATTCACGCCTCTCAGTTATGTGTTTTTTTCCGATCTCTAGCTTTTCCTTTTCAATCCCTCCTTCCGTCTTTTCGTTGCTTTGTCTCTCCTTCCCCCCAGCTCCATCTCTCCCCACATTGGATTCATTCCCCTTTGGAGCTTCCTGCTGGTCACTGTAATTTTTTGCACTGCCACCGGTGACACAGATGACAGGAAGTGGGAGGAGTTGGGCGAAATGCAGATGCCAGTCACGGCGCAGGCCAGCACCACTCAGCTGTGGGCAGTGGACTGGGGTCCCACGCAGCCCCTGGAGGACGAAACCCATCACTTGCTGTCCAGTCTGGAGACGGAGGGTTCGAGGGTGACTACGCCCGAGGACTGGTTGCACCGTCGAAGCACAGCCGCCAATCAAACGCAACGCCCAACTACGGGAGAGAGGGACAAGATAGAGACAGAAGAGCAGGACACCAAGGAAGGTTGGTATCCGTGAAATTAGTTCTTTATCTGAGAGCTGCATCACCGACAGGGCTCTGGGCTCATGCTGGTTCCTCATAGTAGAAAATCTGTGCTTGAGGAGAGCTTAGATTTCTCTCCTATTGAGAAGGAGGCAGGCATCAATCCAATCAATAAAATTTTACCTGATTATGACACTGCCCACCCTTTTCGCCCTCACATTTCTCTCGCTCTTCTCTCCTGTAACGGCTCCTTGTTGCAAGTCTTTCTTCACACTTTTCTACATCTTAATGTTTCCTTTAATTGCTTTTTATAGGCATGTGGGCCATTTGGAAGCGAACTGGGAATGAGTTTTGAAATTCCAGTTCAGTTCTTGCATTTGAATTGAGGTAGCAAATAGGCCAGAATTTACAATTGCATTTGGCAGACACCTTTATCAAAACAACTTGCATTGCATTCAAGATATATGTTACACTGGGTTTATGCACAGCATGGGAATTGAACCCATGACTTTGGTGTTGCAATGCTCTACGGTTTGAGGAATTCATTTTTAATTTAAAGTAGAATCTAAGATGTTTTTAAGAATGAATTTCATATAACTGCTGTTCATGACATCATACACACACAATATTTTCAGATTAGGGGATATTGTTATTTGATGTTTGAAATGTAAGTACACATTTGTATATTTTAAATTGTATTTAATATTTGATTTATATGCATATTTATACAAATAATTTGTATATAATTGTATTAAATATTTTTATTTGCATTTCATATATAATTACATATACTATGAGATTTAAAGGGGTCAAATGATGGTGCTAAAAAGAACATTATTTGGTGTAATGAAATGTGTTTATGCGGTTTAAAGTTCAAAAAACACATTATTTTGCACATACTGCACATTATTGTTTCTCCTCTATGCCCCACCTTTCTGAAACACATCGATTTTTTACAAAGCTCATCGGTCTGAAAAGCGAGGTGTGCTCTGATTGGCCAGCTATCCAGTGCGTTGTGATTGGCCAAATATCTCAAGCGTGTGACGGAAATGTTACACCCCTTACCATATTGTGATGCTGTGTCCCGGAGCGACGAGACAAAAACATTCAAACCCATTATAAACGAGGCATTTGTTGCATCCAGTGGGGACATAATTACGGATTATAATGACTTATACTGTCTTGCATCGCGCCACGTAAACATAAAACCATGTCTGCATTTGTGATCGGAGAAACGGCAAACAACAAGTGCTACTCTACACTGCTCAAAACTCGCGTTTGAATAATCAGTGGCAAATTCTTTAAATATGAAAACGTACTTACAGTCTGTGAGTCAGAACAGCCGGCATTGTAGT